TTCTGCACAGCGAAGGAAACAACCAACACAACTGAAAAACAACCTATTGAATGGGAGAAGATATTTGCAAATGGCATATCTGATAAAAGGTTAGTATCCAAAATATATAAAGGAATTATACAACTCAACACCAAACAACCAAATAATCTGATTAAAAATGGTATAAGACATGAACAGACATTTTTCCAAAGAAGACATCCAGATGGCCAACAGACACATGAAAAGATGCTCAACATCACTCATCATCAGGGAAAGGGTAACCAAAATCACAATGAGATACCACCTCACACCTGTCAGAATGGTTAAAATCAACAACACAAGAAACAACAGGTGTTGGGAAGGATGCAGAGAAAGGGGAACCTTCATGCCTGTTGGTGGGAATGCAAACTGGTGCAGCCACTCTGGAAAACAGTATGGAGGTTCCTCAAAAACTTAAAAATAAAATTACCATCTGATCCAGTAATTCCACTAGTGGGTATTTACCCAAAGAATACGAAAACACTAATTCATAAAGATATATGCACCCCAATGTTCATAGCAGTGGTATTTACAATAGGCAAATTATGGAAGCAATCCAAGTGTCCATCAATAGATGAATGCATAAAGAAGATATAGTGTATATACACAATGGAATATTACTCAGCCATAGAAGGAATCTTGCCATTTGCAACAATATGGATGGATCTAGAGGGTATAATACTAAGTGAAATAAGTCAGAGAAAGATAAATACCATATGATTTCACTCATATGTGGAATTTAAGAAGCAAAACAAATGAACAAAGGGCAAAAAAAGAAACCAACCAAGAAACAGACTCTTAACTATAGAGAACAAACTGATGGGTCTCCAGAGGGGAGGTGGGTGGGGGTGGGGGGGAAACAGATGAAGGGGATTAAGGTACACTTATCATGATGAGCACTGAGTTATGTGTAGAATTGTTGAATCGCTATATTGTACAATTGCAACTAATATAACACTGTGTGTTAACTCTACTAGAATTAAAATTAAAAAATAAAAAATTTTTTAAAATAAAAAATTAAAAAACAATCCCTTTGTGTGTTGGGAGAAGTTCTCGATTGGTCTTGGGTTGGAGAACACTTGGTCTTTACTAAAACCAGGAGGAAGACCATGACCAACTGTTCTGCTCAGAGCCGGGCAGAACACAGAAACCCAGCTGCAGACAGAGCTGGAAAATCTAAGCACACCTGGAAAAGCACATGAAGAGAGGGTGAAATACACAGATGACGGGAGAACAACCCACAGTGAACCACTGCCCTGAGTCACCGCTTCACCACAGGGAGTTGATTTCATCACAAGAAGCGACAGGCAGATGAGGGGGCTGGGTCATCATCACCACTAGACGGGCTACTCAAAGTCCTAGCTCCAAAGCTAGTCTCCGAGCAACTCCTTCTGTCTTTATGATATTTCATATGATGCCATCACTTGACCATAAAAGGTCTTATGCACATGGAAAGATTACTGCTAAGAGGCTGATGCCTGGGTCAGTCTCCATTACTGATGCCGGATTTTCCTTGATCTGGTCAACCCATACCCTCCACCTCTTTCTGTGGCCATTCATTCCCTTCATCCTCACGGTCTCCCTACCTCTGTCTTAAAGATACCTGCCTGCGAGCCTCCTAGCCCTCTTTGCCTTTTATGCATCCTCCATTCCTCCCAACTACCCTCTAGCAGGCACTCTTGATTCCTTGAACCCTGTACTACTTTTACATCATTTATACCCTTTTATCATGATACACAATTATTCATTGCATGTTTGTGTACTGCCCGCACTTCCCAACTAGAACATAAGTTCCGTTGAAGCAGAAATGTTCTGTTCACTGACATATCCCAAGCACTTAGAATAGTGCCTGACACAGAACATACTCCATAAATAGTGAATAAATACATGAACAAAAATGCAATCTTATCTAGTTCATTAGTTTAAATGTTTATATACACTCATGTCTCCTAGATCTGTAGTTCTACACCAATATTCTCCTGCATTCTAGTTCAAGAGAACCCATTCCTCACTTAGTCCCTTGTCCTTGGATTTTCTGTGGGCCCCTCAAATCTCATAGTTGAAACATGAATCCATCATCTCTCCCTGTATCTGCTCTTCTAACTCACGGTCCCCATCTTGATAAATGGCCGCCATTTACCCAGTTGCCCAAGAGAGAAACCTAGGTGTTATCTTTTGCCTTCCCTTTGTCTCAACTGGTGTATTCTACTGATCATCTAATCATGCAGAATCAATTCTCTCCCAGAGGCCCTCTTTTCCACAGCCCCCAGCCATGACTCTTGTTCATGCTTCCATCAACTTTCCTCAAACAACTCTAGCAACCCCCTAACAGAAGAGAGTACTCTGGCACTATATCTCATCTCTTGAGTCCACTTCACATTGCAGCCAGAATGATCTTTGTGACTTTTTATCCAGTCCCCTCAGAGGAATTGTCATGTGGAATGATGGCTTTCTTCTTCCTCTTTTCTTGCTCAAGTGTGAAGTCCTGGAGATCAGAAACTAGACCAACTCCCTAACATACCTCCAGTGCCTAGTAAATTCTTTACATAATTAAAAAACTGAATGCACCTTGAAAAAAAGGCCCCATAAGATAGCAATTATTGTTGTTGGGGTTTCAGAGAAGAGCAATTGAGGCATGTGGGATTAAATCACTGCACGGCTGTGTGGCCAAAGTCACAAAGTCCAGCTCTGAAAATGAGGGCGGTGGATCCCATAGCAACTGTTCCTTTAGGTAGCTTCATGCCTTGCCCACTTTTTTTTTTTTTTTTTGCTAGCCCTCAGGTTTACTGCTTTCTACCCATTTCTGTTGACCATGCTCCTGCTCATGCCCTTGGACTCCTCACATGAATGGGGGGCATGTTGTTTAACCTTCCCTCTGCCTCAACCTGTCCCTACTGTACCCAAAAATGGTGAACACTCTCGACCCTCAGCTCTCCTTATGGAGATTCTCCTGCTCAATGACCCTGATGAGAAGCAAAATTAAATGAATTCAAGTAGAGACCAGAAACCAACAACCATAAAACAAATTCAGGAACTGCTTCTTTGTAATAACGACCAACTAAGACTTTTAGCAAGTGTGATGAAAAAGGGAGGGAAGAAGCGAGAAAACACACAAATTAGCAACATTGCATTGAAAAATAGAGCAGAACCCCTCGTTGAGAGCAGCTTAGAGCAGCTGTAAGCCAAGACTTTATACGACTTTAGGCTAATAACTTTGTAATTCAGTGGAATAATGAGAATTTTTTTTTTTTTTGAAAAATGCACATTTAAGGGTGCCTGTGTGGCTCAGTCGGTTGAGCGTCCGACTCCTGATTTTGGTTCAGGTCATGGTCTCGGGGTCATGAGACTGAGCCCCACGTTTTGCTGGAAAATCACCATTCAGCCAGAAAAAACCCTTCCCCAGCCATACGTGCTATTTTCATAGTGGAATATGGGCAGAAGTGACGTGTTCATTTCCAGGTGGAGGCTTTTAAAACAGGTGGGTGGGCCTTTCCATTCTTTCTTGCCCCTCACTGGCTAGATGCAGAGGATGAGGGGGCTCTAGGGCACAGGTTGGCAAATTATGGCCTGTGAGCCGGCGTTTGTTAATAAAGTTTTATTGGAACACGGCCATGCCCACTTGTTGACTTACTGCTTATGGCTCTTTTGGTACCGCAGCAGCAGAGCTGAGTAGTTGTGACAGGCGGTTTAAATCGCTTAGCCTATTTACTGTCTGGTCCTTTAAGAAAGTTTGCTGCCCTCCTCTAGGGGAGCAGCCAGACTGAAAGGGTCTTTGTGCCTGAAAGATCCACCATTAAGGAAGATCCTCCCTGGATCGTTGATGAACAAGACGTGATCTTCTATTGCTAAGCTGCTGAAATTCTGTGACCGCTTTAGCAGCTACTATTATCCTAACAGAGAAAAAAATAGATGCAAATCTCAAATAAAATATCAGATATTTCTAGAAAAAAGTTTCTATGTAGGATTTTTTTCCAGAAATGCAAGGTAATTAGAAAAGAGAGAATGCCATAGTCCTAGGTCGAAGAAGAAAACTAACACGATCATCTTTCTGTGCATGTTGAAAGCATTTAAGAATTCAGCATCCATCTTATACACTACTCTTAGCAGGAAAGGAGAGAGAAATAATTCCTTAGAATACCTATCTACATACCAAAAGCTAGTGTCATATATAGAGGTACACGAGAGAAGAAATCCCCATTTGTGATAGAAACAAACAGAAAAATAAATGTTATCAACATAGCAAAAGCATAACATACATATGATAATAAAATACTGATCGAATCCCTGGCAATGTACAAATAAAGAAAATTTTCTACCATGTAATATATTAATAATTATTAAATTGCATTGTTCATTATATAATATGAAATGACATAAATTATGTGCTTTATATAATTCATATATATTTTATATCTGATACCCATCTATATACAATATAGATATTTTATATGTAATAAAGTATATATTAAGTTTGCATAATATAGTATATTGTATACTTTGCAATTTATATAAAATTCATATAATTCACAAATACGTAATTTGTAAATAAAACATGAAAATTATATATAATTTATATGTTATGAATATACTATATATAAATTTTTTACATGATGCTAATTATATAATACATTAATGAAACCCTGATGTTACTTTTCAAGTATCAGCCAGTGCACCAACGCAGAAAAACAATGAAGCGGGAGACAAATTTTCATTATTTGTAGGAGACATGATGGTGTACCTAGGCAATCGAAGATAAACCGAGAAACTACCAGAACTATTAAGAAACGCTTCAAAGTTAAAAAAATTAATGTGCAAAATTAATACATTTCCTGTATGCCAGCAATAATTAATGTGACTTTACTTAAAAAAAAAAAAATCCAGAACCTTACTAAGGGAAATGAAAGATCACTTGAATCAGTGACCTCTGGGTATGGAGGGGACTCTGGGATAGTGACCCAGGGCAGGACTCCTGTTCTAACTACCTTTTATGGCCTCCTTCACAGCGGAATCCACGGGGAGTATATTCTTCTCCACCAGCTCCAGTGGTCCTGGCCGGAGGGCGATCTTTTCATTGAGATCATCTGCGAGTCGGGCTCTTTTCAGCTTCATCTGAGCAGTTGGGATGGACCTCTCTGCAGTGGAGGCTGAGGGATTGAAACCGGAAGAATCAGCCCTACTGTTCTGATGTCAACTTTGGTTTTGCCTCTGCTTTTTGGCTTTTGCACGCGCACCATTGTGTCTCGTTGTGTTCTACCGCCCTAATAATGTTTCACCGCGATCATGGTCATTTCACATGGATTAGCAGCGAAGACCAGACACTTCCAAATAAAGGCAAATCGAGAGGCACGGTAAGGGTTAGAGAAATGTGCTTTGTGCCGATTCTTGAAAAAAAAAAATGTGCAATTTGGCAATTCTGTGGGCAGGCAGTCCACAGGGTGTACATTGCTCGCTGACCCTAAGCTGCAGCATAGGGACATGCATCCTGTTTCTACACTGCCTGGCACGGGCTGAGCCGGCTGCAAATACCATTTATTATTATAATTACTTGCAGTAGTATGACTCCTTAAGGTTTGGTGATGTTGTGATGCTAACTGATGCCCATGTCAAGGGGAATTGTAAAATTTAAAAAAATCCCTTTGAAACAGTTAATTAAACAGGGGGTTTTTAAAAATTGAATTCATCCGATGGGCAGTTTCTCATCATTTGGACGGTGACAAAGGTCTCTATCAAGCCCTGAATCACCCATATATTCCTCTTCCGATTACTCCCAGACTTATTTCTGTGTAAGAACTTGGAGGAGAGTCTGGTCAACCTGTTAGGATTGTGGAGACCTGTTAGGTCTGTAAGGCAGACCTGTTAGGATTCCATCGAAGTTTGTAGCTTTACTCTGAAGTCGGCAGTTTTAAAAGAGGAGATATTTACACACCAGCATCCCAGCCCCATCGCTATATTATTATCCACCCGCTAACCCAGACCTCGTGTCTGGCGGCTGATCTAGAAATCTCCATACGGGAGCACTCTAGGGACATGGTATGGTTCCAACAGGTCAGATCTCATCTAGAAGTTGTATCTGTAAAGCACCTGACACGGGGTGGACAAAACATCAGTACTCCGAACCTAAGAATACATGTGCTGAGACTAGGTCCTCCCCAAGCCTCCCCTAACATCCCGTCAGGTCAGGGCAAGGGGTTCTTGCTGGGTCCCCTGCCTCAAGGATCTTTCTGATTTATCCTATGCACCAATTAATCCTGAGAAGCACTCCTCCCTTGAAACCCCCTACATGATGCTTCTCTATCACTCTGGCTATGTCATGAATGGAGATGCTCCATACCCAAGGGACCACTCCAGTGACCCTGGTCCTCCCCCTTCTGTTCCTCACGTCTTACCGAGTTCACCTTTGTACCTTTGCTTGGTTCCCTCCCCTGGTGAGCTTCCTACCGTCTCCCCACCACCAGCCCAGCAGGCTAGTCTTCGGGTCCCAGCCCAAAGTCTGTTCTTTTGTGCCTCCTTTGCTGTGACTGCCTCTAGCACTTACAGCCACGGCCCTTGGTCTTAAGCTGCTGCTTCCAAAACTAGACCCAGAACCTTTGCAAAGAGGGGTCATTTTGTACCCAGAACCTTTGCAAAGAGGGGTCATTTTGTATCCAGCAGATCCTTGGTGCCCTAGGGCACTAATTCCCAATTTCTGTTGGGGAGAAGAGAGGATCCCATGGGAACCACCAGAGTCATGCAATTGAATTGGGGGCCATGGCAGTTCACAGCCTATTTTAATTCAAGACCATGATGATGTAGCAAATAACATTTCTCATGTCTTTTTTTTTTTTTCCAAGTAGGCGCCATGCACAGCATGGAGCCCACACAGGGCTTGAACTCACAACCCCTGAGATCAAGATCTGAGCTGAGATCCAGAGTCCGATGCTTAACTGACTGAGCCACCCAGGCGCCCCTCTCATGCTTTTTTGATTGTAGTATTATTACACACTTGTCCAGCCTAAGTATGGGAAATGCTAAAGGAGTATATGAAAGACCATGAAAGCATCGAGAAACTCCCCACTTTGAGTCAACTGTTTTTAATAGATGGGTGTCTTTCTTAACTATTTATATTTATTGTTAGGGCTACCGTTTTTTAATTTATATATTTCAAGATTTTATTTTTAAGTAATCTCTGCACCCAACGTGGGGCTCAAACCCACAACCCCGAGATCCAGAGTCGTACACTCCACCGACTGAGCTGGCCAGGTGGGTGCCCCTGGGCTACGTGTTTTTAAATCACAGAATCAGACTATAAACACTCGGTGGCCCTAGAGGGACTCAAACGACCACTCTGGAATGGCAGGGGACATTAAGAGGACACAGAGAGAAAAGAACTCCAGCACATGCCCACCATTGGTGGGCATCCTTGGTCATGCTTGGGTGTGGTCTCACCTTGGAGTATGTGCATATTAACCACGTCAGCGGCGCAATCGGGCCTGTTTCTGACCTTGTGCTTCAGGGAGTCTTCAGTCTGCAAGCACAAACAGAGCATGCTCACACGGTTGAACTGCCTCGTTTTGACTTTAAAAGAGCCTCGATTTCTCTCAAAGGGGAGAACAATCCTTCTTTTGACAAACCGAACCTGCAAATCGCTCTGGTCTCCTCTATTTTGATGCAGGAATGCTTGCAAAAGCCTCTCTAGTAATTTTAGGATGGAAAAATTCAGGAAAGAGGAAAGGAGCTTGGGTCCCCATCAGGGCTGCACACTTAAAGGCCAGGCAGGTATGTGCTAAAAAAATATTAATAAAGCTCTGATAATACTAATGTGCTTGTACTCCAGTCAATTCTATTCCTCGGACTCTTAAAACGGCCATGAAACTAACTAAGGTTAGAGATGAAATGAAACCTGAGTCCATCTAGTAGAACATGACAACCTATGCCCTCTTCCAAGAATTCACTGGCCGTCTCTCTTAGGACCTGTGAAAATGTAAATTCAGGAGCACCATGAGTGGGAAGGACACACGGAGATGATTTACCAAGTCCCATCTTCTTCTTGATGGTGGAGTTGTCTCTGGGAACGGATGTGGGCTCTGGCAGGGCCACACCTGCATCTCTCAGGCCCTGATTTCTATCTAGTTCTGAGTTTTGATCCCATCATACTGGATCTCCTACTTGACCCCTGAGAGGGGTCAGGAGATCACTCCCGTTCTGACAGAAGACACTTGTTATCCAGGTAGCAGGGACCAAAATCTCTCAGGAGCAACTGTGAAGAGGTTGTTCTTCTCTCCACCCACAACCTAGCTGCAGGGCTAGAACTCGTAGACAAAGAAATCCCAGAAGAAAGGCACCCCCTTTGCATCTCCTTCTCATACAGGGCTGATGCCAGCTAAATAGTATTTATTATTGATAAGTTCAGTTTGCAGAGATCTACTATGAAGGTACAGAATATATGCCCCCCCGCCCCCGGAGTGCTAAACAAACAAAAACAGAAAGAGGAATAAACCAAAAAGCCTTTTGCCTTTAGGTACCTGCCAATCAGCTCTGTATTCACAGGCCTTAGCTTAGTATTACATTGGAGTTTTTAAAAATCTGATTGTAAGAAAGGGCTGGAAGGCTTTTTGAAGTCTCCTTGACTTCTTCAGCATCCTTGCCATGAACTTCCTAACATTAGGAAGACTGGGGACATTTTCTTAAGCTAAAAAATAGTTTCAAAGCGAAACGTGGTCAATTGCATTTCTCCAGTTTTCAGTTCGTAGGAATAAGATTCCCTATGGTGTGGCGGGGTGTTGGGGAGGGTGTATCAAGTTTGTGGTAGAAATTCCACCTGCTTTAGCCAAAGCTGAGCACTCAGAGATCCATACCCTGGAGTCCAAGTTCAGAAAGAGGGCAGTTTGCAAAAAAAAAAAAAAAAATTACCTTGTCACTATCCAAATGTTTTCTTTGCTCATGGAATTCGGTTGGGTTTTTCAGTGCTGCAATGGAAAGACAAGGACGTGAGCCGAGGGGGGCTCAGGGCACTGAGCAGCAAAGACAGGATTTGCCGGTGCGCTTGGTGAGCTGTGCATAGGATGGATGTGAGCACCTTTATTAGGCCACAAGCAATTGAAGAGGAGAGGCCCGGAGGACACCAGCTTCCCTGAAGCCAGAAGATACAGAGGAGGGTGGAAATGAGGCCGAAAACAGGAGGAGCGGTAGAGGCGGACGTGCGACAGGGAGACAGGTGGTGGAGACAGGGCATTCCGAGATCCTGGGGAGGCACGGGGACCTGTGGGAGGCTGGACACAGATCCAGAGTGAGGGAGAAGGGCGGATGGGGTGCCTAACACCCACTTCCACTTTGCCCTGCCCCTGAGTGCAGAAGTCTGGGTGGAGGCTGAGGGCCACGGGAGGGGCGCCCCAGCCTGCAGGAAGGGACTTGAACTCGGGACAAGGTCCGTGATGGGTCGGACAGGAACATGCAACTAAGGGTGCTGGGTGAGAAGCACAGAATCAGACTTTGAGGGCCAGAAGGGGCCCTGGAGATGGTGAAATGAGCTCCTGCCCTGAACAGAATAGGGAAACTGAGTCCACAGAAATCAGCTGACTTGCCTAGGGTCACACAGTTAGGGCTAAGAGCGTAGGTGCTCTGACAACTTCACTTCTTCCAAGGCTTGCTGTTCAAAACATTAACACCCAGGAGATACATGTATGGGTCAGCCAGAGCACACAGCACCCTGAACAGCCCAGACCCGATGCTGCCTCCATCCTTCCCTCTTCCTCCTGCTCTCCACCGTGGTGGGGAACCTCTTCTGACTTACCAGAGAAGCAGAACATCGTTGGGCAACATTCTGCATCTCTCTGAGCTTTCCTGAGTCCCTGAAACAATCAATCCAGAGCCACAAGCAATCAACTCTGCGTTCTGAGTGATGAGGTTGGTCCGAGCTCATGAAACTGCACTGAATACTTTTCTGAACTGCAAGTCTGGACAAGCTGATGAACCACAGGATCCGGGGTTCTAATATCACTCCAGCAGATGTCCACCTGTAAGCGGCGGGCAATGAAATATTCTTCCAAGGCTTGGCGAGCTTAAAAAATTGGGTCTCTAGCCAGACTGGAGCTTGGGGCTATGTGTGTGTGAGTGTGAGTGGGTGTGTCTTGTTCAGTCTTTAAGGTAAATTTTAAATTTGAGCACAGATTTCAAGGGTGCTTGCTGGACATCAAGCAAATGGCATTGTAGTCCTGGCACCTTATTCTCTATGGAGGGTATGGCTTGGGAAGCCTCTCTATGGAAGGCATGCTCCCTCTCAGTGTCCCTGCCTCAGGGGAACAAAGGAGCGTTGACCAAAGGAGCTTGCCGAATAGTCCCAGCTGGCTGCCTTGTGTCAAATATACTGGATGAAATCCCTCCTCCTCACTTTGAGCAGAGATTAAGGGGCTTCCCTTCTTATAGGAAAAATAATGGAACGTGCTGCTTGACTATCAACATTTCCCATTGAGTGAATACGTTTCCCTTTGCTGCTTTTACTCTTAAAACGAGCTTCTTTGCAAAATCTGCCATTTCCAATGCCCCCCCTACCCCACCACACCCTCCATTTGTCCCCACTCAGGAGTTCTGGGAAATCATCTGGAGAAATGTGCCATTCTAATGCACTGCTTGTGCATTTTCTCTGATTTGGGTCTGGTCGCCATGCCTTGTAAGGAGGCTTGTCTTTTCCTGCATTTGATCACAGTTGCAATTTATATTGATGGTGCTCTGAGAGCAACTCCCGTATCCCCAGGCAACCAGAGCCTACAAGTTTGCTTGAGGTCCAGGGGACCCTGGTGAATCTATACAATTTGAAGGGATAGGTCTTCACCTCTGTCCTACCGTCTGGTGGTCATCTAATTTGGGATTACGTATTGGTGCTGGCCTTATCACTTGTATACTCCAGAAAGGAAATGATCTTTGTGTGGCTGTATTAAGTGATTAAAAAGCATTCACACATCCTTTTAGTATGAATCTATCCTGCAATATCACTTACATTCCAAACCCAACTGGTTTTAATTGGGCTTAGGAATTAGGAGGAATTTATCTGGTTCTCTTGCCCCCTGAGGCTCTCCAGTTCCTATTAGCAGAGCTTATTAATTGTTTGAAGCAGGGCATTTCCTGTATCTTAGCCTTGGAGAGCTCTAATTCATCACTTCTTGGTGTTAATAACTTGTGAAATGATTTGCACAGTCCAGGTCTCTGATGCCAGGAGCACAAAGGTCTTCTGGAAACTTCTATCACAGAGACACAGTGGGAGATGCTATGTCCATTTGGCAAGGACTTGGGAAGAGAGCCGAAGAGGTCCACACACTGCATTTTACCACACGCTTGTCTCCTCGGGGCTTAAGGGATGTTATATGGGGTGCTGGTTTGGGGTCACCCCACAGAGAACTATCTTGCCATGGCTCTGTAATTGACATTTGCTTTTTCCATGACTCCAGAGAATGTGGGTTTTAGCCAGCTCCCCTGAGGGCCAGTGAAAGCCATAATGCATCCCCCCCATCAAGTTGGCTTTTTGGAAAATACACAAAGGACCTCTTGCTGCCAGCCCTGGGAGTATCAAATGGCAAAATTTTGTTTTTGGGGGGACGTTGACATTTGAGATGGAAAAGGAATTTGGATTTCTAAATTAAAAAAAATAAGTCAATGTGATTTCAAATTAAAATATGGTTGTAAATTCAGTCAGCCACACATCTAACTCATTCCCCCCCTGGAGGAAGATTAATCACTTCTCACAAGGGAATTCGTGTTCTCGCTTCAGAGTTTAGTTACGGCCTATTCCTATTTCGGTCCCGCAGCTCCAGCTAATTTGGGTCAGCTGTGTATATAAACATTTGCTTACGAAAGCTCAGAAAAAGATCCCAAGGAAAGAACAGGCCTCCTGCAGTCCCCTGCTCTGGACACTAACCTCATGCCTCCGACAGGAGCCCGGGAAAAGGAGAACATGGGCCCTGGGGCCACTGAGGCATCAGTGAAGGGGATGAGCCGACCCTCTAGCACAGGCTGGTGGGGGAGCCTGCTGTTGGTGGAAGCTCTGGCAACAAAGGCAGGGCCGTGGCCGTGCCTGCCTGCTCTCAAGGGGTCGTTCCCTCCCAGGCTTGCAGGACAGAACCCAGCTTCTTCAGTATTGCAGGTAAGGACGGAAATGCAGAATCAAAGGGCTGGTGTCCTGGGGCAGCATCTGGAACAGTGGTTCTCAACGTGTGGCCCCTGGACCGGTATCTTCAGCCTCACCTGGAAGCTTGTCAGAAATGCCAATGCTCAGGCCCCACCCAGACCTCGACAACCGGACCCTTGCGGGGTGGGTCCCGGGGATTTATGTTGGAACATGCCCTCCTTGCCAATCCTGATGCCCAAGTTTGAGAACCCCTGTTCTGGAGCCCACCAGGCCAGTGAGTCCTGATCTGGGGTCCTTCGGAACCCAGGAGTTCCAGAAGAGAGAAATGAATTTCTAGGACTGATTTTCAGCATTTCAAAGAGCTGAAAGAAGAAGGTCCGTGTACCCAGAGAAAGGCCGATTAGACTAATGGTACGGTCCCTTTTCCTTGTTGCTGCCTAGGATCATAACGGCATGCTCTCGTGATGGTTGTCTCACCAAAAAGCATGGGCTGTTCAGTGTAAATGCCATTAATTAATCAAAAACAGATATATGGATTCATAATTCATGAATGTGGGCTTCTTTGGTGGCGGGGTAGAAGACATAATGAAAGTCATCTTGGGTGCCTGAAAATTTGGGAACTACCTGTCCTTGCTTTGTCTCCACAAACACGTGTGAGAGTCTCCCACCTGTACCAGTGGGCTTAGTAACGCTGGTCTTCTGTTTGTCTCACTTTGAAAGACAAACTAGATCGTGAAAGCTGCTCTTCCGAGCAGAGGAGGTACATGCTCTGCGTAACTGATGATGATTTGGAAATGACATCCTCTCCTAGGCTGGCGATCAACTGCTTACTGAGTACCCAAAGGATGGTCCCAGGAGTCCAAAAAACATAGGTTTGTTACCTTTCAGACCTGGCTGCACACTTGGGAGGGGTTCATGCAACATACGTGAATACTTTGGGATTTCTAAGAAGAGTCCAAAGTATGCATGTCATGGCTGGCTTCCTAGTTTCTGGGGAGTGAGGAACCCGAAGACAGGAGGAGGGGAAAAGACAACGTTTAGGATTCTGGACTCCCCCCTGCCCCCACCTTCCGGGCTCGCCATGGAAATCCAGAGTGCCTTGGCTTGTCTCTGAACTTGAGAGGTTAGACAGGGAGGGAGGAGGCAGACAGATTAAAACCCTCGTGCTGTGTGCTGCTCAAACAGCCAACAGTTGTGTGCTAGGGGTGCTGGAGGAAGAAGCCAAGTCAGATGGATGCACAGAGGAGAGGAGGGAAGACTTTGCATAGTCGACTTCTCAAGACTATCATGAAGCTGCATGTGGTGTGGGTAGAGGAGTGTGCCCGGTCATTCTTGCTGCTATTCAGGAGAGGTACCACAGAGAATTCAGGGGTTTACCAAGGCTTTGTTGTGGCTGCGATTAGTCTGTAAAACAAATAAGGTGGCACCGTTCATAGACAGCTCGTTGTAGCTTTCAATTCATTTACACTGATCAGATCATGGACCCAAGCTGCCCGGACAGTTCATTTTGGCCAGCGGCGGCTTTCCGGAAGTTTCCATAGAGATGCCGCAGCCTCTCTGGGGCCCCGGTCTAGTGCAGTTCTCTTGTTCTCATACTGCAGGACCATAAGCTACCTGTTTCCTCCTCTCTCTCCCCTGGGTTCATACAGATTAGCCCCACACCCATGCACTGGTGTGATGCTGTCCAATATCACTACTCGGAACAATCAAGCAGGGGTGATCTGGGGCCCCCTCCAGACGGTAAGCATCTGAAACAGAACTCACGCCTGACTCCTGTGTGTTCCCCAGGGCCTTCCTCACAGCAGATGGTCAAAACACCACTGAATTGCTGTGATCATTCATTGCACCTACTCCACAGGGCTGATCACATCCTTCTGCACCGAGGCTTCCCAAGGGGTTGGAATAAAGTGGTGTTGTTTTAGATTCCCCCCAGGAGAGGGATGCCCAAGGAAAAGAACTGTAGTGGAGAAAAATCTGCATGAGAAATGGTGAACAGATCCAAGCCCCACAGGTCAACAGGGAAAGAGGCTGGCTCTGTCCTTAAGCCGTGAGGAAAAGAGAGAACGTAGATGTCTTTTGCAGCCTTGATTCCACAAGGGAGGGGCAGCGAAGTGCTCCCTTTGAGTCCTGGCTGGTGGTGGCAGAGGAGGCAACTTGAAATCTCCATTTAGAGATTCAGAGGTGAGATTCTGGAGACATGTCCAAGCAATAAATTCTTAAAGTTTCTGAGCTAATTGTGAAAGGGTATTTCACTGAGATTTCATGACTATTTCATGAATTCTACAGTGGTATTATAAATGTGAAAACAATCTTAGAATCTGGCTGGGGCCCATGCTCCCCGGTCTGAAAAACCTCTTTCCACTATTGAGGGTTGTTCTGGGGCCTCTGTGCTGGCCTTGGAACTCTGCTCTTCTTGACTAAATTCAAGGAACAATGACTTTACGTTCATTCAAAGCACCCAAAGGGGGAGAACCCCAGACCCATAATGGACAAAAGTCAGAAATAAGTAAATGCTGAAGAGAAGTGATTAAGGGGCGTTATGAAGGAGAATTTGTCCCTGGTTGCAGTGGACTGTTTGTTACTCATCAGTAACTTCAAAACCTGCAGGATACATGCCCAAGAAGAAGGAAGGAGTTAACTAGTTCCACTAGTTAACTGAAATTTACACATGGTTCAGTTTATCAGAATCAGGAGGGACAGAAACCTTATACTTTCATCATCAATTTGATGTACAAGTGAAGTAAGATCTGCTACAAGGCTAAAGCAGCAGAACTTTTCCTTCCCTCTTGGTCCCAGTGAGGTGTAGATGAGAACGGAAAACCTGACGCCATTTTGTTAAAAACCACTGGGTTCTCCTTGGCATTTCCACCTATGTATATTTTTAATTTCCCCAAATTCCAACTGAATTTTTTGGCCACAAAATGCTTGAGGGAAACCTAAGGAAGTGCTTTTAAAGTCCAAGTGATTCGTTTGGAATATTTGAGAAAAGAGCTCTACGCAGGGACCAACCCCGCTGTAGGCTCTGCCACAAAAGGAGCGGCAGCGCCTTTGAGATTTAATCTAATGTAAAACTCAAGAGGAATTCTGCCAAAGGATAGCAGGTGTTTCTGTGGACTGGTTAAAAAACAGTGATGCTAAGCAATAATAACATAGGGACAGTGAATAGTTCACTTGACCATCAGCTTTCAATTGAGGCGATTTATGACAAGTTTTAAAATCTGGGGGGGGGGAGGATTGTGGTTATTTCAAATGTACTCATAATTATGTAAAAAATTCTACCTTGAACTATACTTCTGTGTGATTCCTATCACCTCTTCCCCTAAAATCTTGAGTCCATTCAAGGGACTGTCTTGCTCATTGTTGTCTCTATGGGCCCAGCACTCTACCCTCCATATAGTCTGGTTCATAACAAAATTTGTTGCATTTGATTGAATTGACAGGACCCTGAGTCTGCTGGCTCCTCTTTCTTTCCCTTGATTGCTTGCCTTGACACATGGACCCTGAGGTGCTCTGCATTTGGATGGCCGATCTCTGATTGGATTGACGAGGCTAACCATCTCCACCCCCAACCTCTCAGCAGGTGAAAGATTGGTCTTGGGTCTAACTTCCTGAGAAGAGCTAAGTAGCTGAAGTCTGTCTGGGCTGGGCATGCCTTGTGTTCCTGCTGCAGCTTCGATATTTTTCGACAGCAGAAACTACACCCTCAGGAAGCCTAGTTGAGAGGAGCTGGATGAAGACTAGGGGAAATGGATGACACTTAATTAACCTTTATCAATTTACTGAGTTAAAAAGAAAAAAAAAATCCTTTCGTTCTCATAGGACTTTTTTTCCCCCAGTAATTATCTTAATGGTTCAACGAACTAAGGATGCAAAATTTCTGTCAAGCAGGGTTTCGTTAATAGGTACCCTATTTGATTCTGGAAATCCCGAGAACAAAATATCTTATCCCCATTGAACCCTCCTCCACAAACGGACATTGAATTTACAAAACGCACTTAGAGGTGTTATTTTAAAAGTATCATAGGGTTCATTCCTATCTTCCTTAGGTGTTTTTACAGATTCCCAGAAATTTAACCCGTAAACCTCAAAAAAAAAAAAAAAGAAAGGAGGGAAAAAGAGTTTATTCTCATTCAAATGTCAGCAGCAAGACCCAGGTACAGAGTCCTTAGGCACTCGAGTCAAGCTTTAAGTCAGTTGTGAGCAGCCTGGGCTGACTGAGAGGGACTGAGTCTCTCTACTCCGTGTGCCTTTCCAGAATCAAAGAAAAGAAACCCCAGTGGGGGAATAGATTATTTTAATATTACCCAACTAGAGGGGGTCCTCATAGATTTGAGGATGTGGGTACAGACTGTCCACTGAGAGGATCCTGGTGGAGCTACACTCTTCTACTTAGTGAACAATTCTTCTAGATGACACTTAATCAGGTCAGATTCTACATGTGTGTAATAGGATTCCGAAAAAGACTGGTCTGCTCAGCTCTGAGTGACAACGTACTTATCTGACCGGAAGTCAGCAGACCTTTGTTCTCTCCTGTGTTTTTAGCACCTCCGCTAGTGGGCTGAGATGAAACAGGCCACCCAGACGTGATCCTATGGATTCTCATCACCGTCGTACGTACTGTGTACGCAGCCTTTAAAATTGCAGGCTGAGTGGTTCTACTATTACGATCCCCTACTGTTTACTGTTTTGGAGGGCTTAGCCATAAACAAAGAGCTAATTTTGAATTATAAAGGAAAAGACTTGAAATATTCTCAGTTCTGTTCTGGCTCTGGGGCATGGACTATACTTAAAATTTTAGGCCTTGGGTCACAGGGCTCCGATATTATTACTAACCGCAGGACATTTGATCTGGGCCAAACTGTCTGCTTGTTGCATGCTGGACTCTGAAGTAATGGTCATGATGAATCTAGATTTCTGCTAGAGTCATTATGGGTTTTGATTTTTAAATTTCGTTGGCGAAGAAAGTTAAAAAGTATGACCCTAAAGGAGCCTGAACTGCGACTTCATTCATTCGGGGCACCCTTCCTTCTGTTACTATGGATCATCAAGAGTTAGATTTAATCACTAACTCGGTAGGAAAATTTAAATTTATCTACTAAAAGATATGATAATCATTCTTCTTTGACCCAAATTATGGCCAGTAATTCAATATACCATTGATGCTAGAAAGCCATTGTTTCTCAGTGTTCCAGAAAGGAAGCACTTGACAATATTCAATTAATTGTGGACTCAAGTACCCCGAACAGAATGGAAACCAAGGAGGTGAGAGGCTGGACATGTGATTGATGCTTCTGGAAAGAACAGGGATGACATCCTAAAAGTAAAGGGTGAGGGGTGCCCACAGTGAATCGTGTTTACTCCAAAAACAAACCCACTGGTTGGCATTTTAGATACAACCCCTGTCATGAAAGGGAAGCCCTTGCAGGTGAGTAGGATCTGGGGCAAAGCATCCAAGGTCTGGGGTTTCTGCTGACATGGAGTCTATGGGGATCTTGGGGGGAGATCCATCCATAGGCTTAGGCTCAATGACCTTGGAGGTGCTTTCTAGCTCCCAAATTGCATGGTCCCCTGGTAATAGATCGGTGAGCAAGGGACACAGCTACTCACGTGGTGTTATGCCTTGGTTAGCCAGCTGTTCCTGGGTCCTCCTCTGCTGAAGTCGTAACTGCAAAACTTAGAAAAGAAAATGTTAGTTTGTAAGTTGGGCTGCATGTGATTGTAGTTGTTTATATTTACATCAGAATTTTTGCCCAGCTCTTCTCATTTTATTCTTATTTTTTAAGATTATTTACTTGTTTATTTATTTAGAGAGAGTGAGCACTCATGCAAGGGGGGAGGGGCAGAGGGAGGAGAAAGAATCTCAAGCAGGCCCCACACTCAATGAGGAGCCCAACGTGGGGCTTGATCTCAAGACCCATGAGATCATGACCTGAGCCAAAAAAGAGTCGGACGCTTAATGGACTGAGCCATCCAAGAGCCCCTCATTTTACTTTTAGAACAGTCCTGAACTTTTGCATGAGGTACATTCGTATTTCTGTTACAGATGTGGAGAAAGAAAAGAGGAGACCCTGAGGGGGTTGCAGGGATATGTGGGAAGTCTGTGACGAGTTGGAACTAGAACACCCCTCTCCTCTTTCAAAGCGAATGCTGTTCCCACAGCACTATGCTCCCCGTCTCCGTTATCCACTTTGGAGATAAACACCAGCCGATTCTGCTGGGAATTTGCACTTTCAAAAGGGAGAGAGAATGAAGAAAGCAATAGGTTTTGGAGTCCCATATGGGTTCAAATCTCATTTCTAGCCCCTTCAAAAGGTGGGTGACCCTGGGCAAGTTGCTTAACCTCTCTGACCCCTGGTTCCCTCATCAGTAAATGGGAACAATGCCTACCTTGAGGTGCTGCTATGAAGTTTGATAAACAATGTATGCAAGTCGCTTAGCAGAGTGTCTGGCACAAAATAATTCATCAATAAACAGGGGTATTATGAGCATCTGGGACCTGTTTGGAATTTCAAAGATGGACTACTGGAGTCAGGTTTTGCTTAGAAAAGTTAAAACACTGTAAAGTGTTTGAACTTTATATTATGAAACTTTGCTGCTATCCATAGCACAAATAGATTATATATATCATACACATATATACATATAGTTTTTTAAAACTGTATTTAAAATTATGTGTAGCATTTGTGATTTTCTCCTACTCCCTCTCTACTCTACACCTAAAACTTCTATCTTTGGACACTTAGCCTCTCCCTCATGGATATTCCATTTTCTCAGGGAGGTTCTTCTTCTTCTTAAAGATTTATTTATTAGAGAGAAAGAGAAAGAGAGAGAGAGAGAGCACACATATGTGAGCTGGGGGAGGGGCAGATGGAAAGGGAAAGAATCTCAAGCAGAGTCCCCGCAGAGCTTCTTGAAGCCCAGTGTGGGGCTCAACCTCACAACCCCGAGACCATAACCTAATCAAGGGTCAGACGCTTAACCAACAGAGCCACCCAGGCGCCCCTCTCAGGGAGATTCTAAGTTTACCATCTTGGCTCTGGCATTTACATTGCTCAGAATAAGGATAGAAAGAGCAAACATTTACAGAAAGAGGGATTGGTCTAATCAACTTATAATTAAGAGAACAAAAGAACTGCTTTTAAGAAGAGAAAATTAGAACAGAGGGAAGAGGGGCAAAAATAGGAAGCCTATGGGGGCTGACTTTCAAGCTGATTTAGTATTCGGTGTAAAGCATCAGAAAAAATGCAGTCACCATACTGAGAGACTAATGGGGAAAGATAATTTTTTAAAGTGCTGCCATGGTTTTGAATTGGACCCTCATCAATCATCTTCAAGAGAGAGCAATGTTGTTGAATTGCTTTTAACTACTCTTGGTTGCTAGACTGCACTTCACCATAGCCTTGTTTTACTCCAAGTTAGGACTGGACAATAAAGAAGACAAAATAAATGAAAATGATATGAGAGTTTGTTATTTAAGCCCTCCTTCAGAACAACCCTCCCACTAATAAAAGCTGTAAACTCTGAACAAAATATGAGCTATAACTACCTGAAGATTCTGAACAGGAAACAAAATCAGGCAGATTGTAGAGGGGAGTTGGGATTTGGAGAAGTCACTTGCATGGGAGTGAGTTCCCTATTTGGGGGAAACTGAGGCTGACCTGGAGTCATGAAGTGGCAGGTCACAGGCAAATAAAACTCTAATAGAAAACATGCTCATCCTTCTGGCTAGAGAAATCAGAGAAAGGTACCTGGACAACCATGGCTGACCACCACAGATTGAGGAGGATGTCATGTAGGGGAGAGAGCTGGAGAAGGAAGGGATCCCCAAACTATGTGTATGAACCCTCACAAGTTTCAGGTTTATCCCTTCATGATGTTTCCATGGGGCAGACTCAAAGCAGCACAGCAAAGATTAAAATTAAATGGAAATTTGAACCTCTGTGCACATAGGCAAAAAAGGACTTAATGTTTGAATCTACCTGGATTGTGTGTTAAAACGAAACAAAACAAAACAAAACAAAACAAAACCAGCATCCTCCAGAGGATTGTAAAAGAATTCAGAGTTTGTGTAACACAAGACAGAATGTCCAGGATACAATCCAAAATTACTCTACACATAAAGAACCAGGAAGAACCAGAAAAATGTGATCCATTTTAAATAGAAAAGCCAATTAACTGATGCCAGCCTTGAGAGGACTCAAGTGTTGGAATTATCACCCTAGTACTTTAAAGTAGTTATTTTCTTTCTTCTTCTTTCTTTCCTTCTTCTTCTTCTTTTCTTCTTCTTCTTCTTCTTCTTCTTTTGAGAGAGGCGGGGGAGGGAGAGGGAGGGAGAGAATCTTATGTGGGCTCCATGCTGGGCATGGAGCCTGCTTAAAAAAAGAAAAGAATAAATATTAGAGGGGATGAATCAGTAAACTTGAAGATCAAAATTAAGAAGAGAGAGGAAAATGATGGAAAAAATGGACACAGAGATAGCCTCATGGACCTGTGCCACATTATCACAAAGTCTAACATCAGCTAATTAGAGTCCCAGAAAGAGAGAAATAAATAATAGCCCCAAACTTCCCAAATTTTGTAAAAGACATAAATTCACAGATTCCAAAAGGTCAACAAACCCAAACCAGACATATTCACAGAAAACCACACTTAGATACATCATAATCTAATGACTAACCTAAAGATAAAGAGTAAATCCTGAAAGTATCCAGGGAAAAACAACACATTATATAAAGGGAAACACTGATTCTCATCCAGAAAGCATGGAAGCGAGAAGATAAAACAAAAACAAAATGTAAAACATAAAACAAAATTCAACACCAAATAGGAAATGTCCTCTAGAAACGAAGATAAAATAAAGATGCGTTCAGGTAAAGCGAAAGTAAGATAATTTGTTGCCAGCAGATTTTACTACAAGAAATGCTTAAGGAATTCTTCAGGCTGAATGGAAATGAGAGCAGAAAGAAACCTGGATATTTGGGAATGACTAAAGAGTATCAGAAATAGTAACTATTTTGTAAATGTTAAAGATTTTTCTTTTTGTTCTTAAGTTTTAAAAGAATGTATCTAACTACTTAGAGAAAAATTATAATATTGTCCTGTGACGTTCCTAAGGCATGTAGATATAATACAGATTACAACTGCAGCATAAAAGGTCCTTTATGACTGCAAGATTTCTATACTTTACATGTAATGGTATAATATTAACTATAGGTAGATTGCAAAAGATTAATGAAGAGCAACTAATACAAATACAAAGAGGAGGGGTGCCTGGGTGGCTCAGTTAAGCATCCAACTCTTGATCTCATAGTCATGAGTTCAAGCCATGTGTTGGGCGCGAAGCCTACTTAAAAAAAAAAAATACAAAGAGGAACAGGTAAAAAAACACCAATAAATTAAAATGGAATACTAAAAAATATTCAAACAATCCAAAAGAATGCAAAAAGTAGGGAATATAGAGACAAAGTAGAGGGACAAACAGAAAACAAACATTAAAATGGCTGAAGTCTAAAAACATTAATAAATACATTAAATCTTAATGGTCTAAACCCTCAGATTAAAAGGCAAAGGTTATCAAAAGGAATAAAAATTCAATATGCAATTATATGCTGTCTATATATAGACACTTTATAAACACTCAGATTGGTTGAAAGTAGATGGGGAAAAATATAGCATACAAACAATAAACCTAAGAAAGCTAGATTGGCTATACAATATCAGATAAAAGAGACTTCAAGCCAAAAAGTATTATCAGAGATAAAGAAGGGACATTACATAATTATAAAAGGGACAACTCATTTGAAGACCTGACAATTATAAATGGATAGGCATCTAATAAAAGCCTCAAACAAATGAAGCAAAAACTGACAGAATGAGAGGGATAAACAGACAATTTCAAAATCATAGATTTTATGATTCCTTTCTCAACATTTGATAGAACTAGATTTTTTAAAAAATCACTGATGACATTGGGATTTGAACAATTATCAGTCATCTTGATTTAACTGATATTTATAGAGCACTGTGTTCAATAACTTAAAATTTACCATTCTTTTAAGGTTCACTTATTACATTCACCAAGATATACTAGGCCATAAAACAAGTTCCAATACACTTTTTTTATTTTAAAGATTAAACTCATATACAGTATGTTCTCTGTTCACATTGGAATTAATTAGAAATCAAAGGCAATATGCTATTTAGGAAAAGGGTGCCTGGGTGGCTCAGTTGGTTAAACAACTGCCTTTGGCTCAGGTCATGATCCTGGAGTCCCAGGATCGAGTCCCGCATCGGGCTCCTTGCTCAGCAGGGAGTCTGCTTCTCCCTCTGACCCTCTCCCCTCTCATGCTCTCTCTCTCACTCTCTCTCTCAAATAAATAAATAAAATCTTTAAAAAAATATGCTATTTAGGAAAATATTTGACAATACACTTCTAAATAATTTGTAGGTCAAAGAAGAAATCACAAGGGTAATTAATATTTTTAATTGACTGATAATGCATATACAATACTACAATTATGGGATACAGTTAACACAGTGCTTAGAGGGAAACTTTAGAGTTTTAAGTGCTTATGTTAGACAAAAGATAGATTTTTTTACATTAATTTATTTGAGAGAGAGAGAGAGTGCATGCAGGTGCGACACTTGCACGCACAGAGAAGGGGGAGGGGCGTGGGGAGAAGCAGGCCCCCTGCTCAGTGGGGTCTTGATCCCAGGACCCTGAGATCATGACCTGAGCTGAAATCAAGAGGCGGACGCTTAACCGACTGAACCACCCAGGCACCCGAAGAGGAAAAATTTTAAATCAATGACCTAAGATTCTAATAAGCTAAAAAAGAAGTATGGCCAAGAAAATAGAAGGAAGAGAATAGTATTAGAGCAGAAGTCTTCAAAATAGATCAAAATAGAAAGCAGACAAGTAGCAGAGAAAATTCACTGAGGCAAAAGGTGGTTCTTTGCAAAGACCAACAAAAGTGACAACCCCCTACCTAGACTGATAAAAGAAAGAGAGAAAGAATAAATTTTACCAATATCAAGAAGAAAAAGATGGGTTATAACTACAGATATT